TTAAAAAGGTATTATACAAAAATATAACCTTATTTGATATTAAAGTCTAGGGTGAATCTCATGGGTGGTCACCCAACTTTATTAAAATCAACGTTTTGGTCACTGTAATATCCCAAATTTTTGGGAATGTTTAAGTGTAAGTTAAGGACTTGATTGTGAGAAAAGATTGTTTTGGGGCCTAATGTGAATATTCTGAAAGTTGAGGGACTTAAAGAGGGAAAGATTTTGGATAAGGATGACTTCTTTTCTTTTTCTTTTTCTTTCTTTCTTTTCTTCCCAGCCATTCCCGATTCTGCTCTTCTTCTTCCCGCTGCAGCCACCCGAAGGAAAAGAGAGGGAAACCCAGCCATGCCTTGAGGAAACCGGTAGGAAGCTTGGTTTTCTCCTTCCTTTCTTGCTCTAGAACACACCTAGAACCCGGAAATCTCTCCCCCTTTGCTGGAAAAGCCGGATCTGCCCTGCTCTGCTTTGTCCTTCCGTCGGCTGCTCTTGATTGTGGGTGATTTCTGGGCATATTTTTCGGTAAGAACAGCCCCTAATTCCTTTGTTCTTGGTTGAATTGGCTTGGGTTAACTTTGATTGCTCTTATTTCCTTCAATTTTGGGTAGTTCCCGTGAATTTCTCCCCTGCACTGCCGCCGGCTTCTTCCCCAAATTGTAGCTCTGGCCTTGCTTGCTGGATTCTGGTATGTAATAGCCTTTTAAGGCTTAAATTGTCCATTTTGTTTGTTGCCTTGTGTGTCCGAAATTCTGCAGAAAATGGGGATAATTCCGGTAACTTTAGGACGAGATTTAAGCATTAATTCCAGTGGGATTTATGTGATTGAGTGTTAATTGATTGCTATGATTTTTGGAGTGAAATCCCGTGAGATTAGCTAGTGTTTTGGCCCAATTGTGGAAGTCGGAGTTACTGTTCACGTCGTGAGCACTGTTCAGGTGTACTGTTCACCGACACTGTTCAGGTGTACTGTTCACCGATACTGTTCACACCTCGAGGGCCAACAATTAACGGGGATTTAAGTGATTAGTTTGTGATATGAGAATGATTTTGGAGATATTTGATCATGTGGAGATTTATAGGAAATAGCATTGTAATTAGGAATGATCCTAATGATGATTTCAGCTTGAATTTGTGATAGTCCGGTATTAATTCTCGGATGTTTTGATTAGGTTTCTGATCGTTTTGTCAGTTAGTACGTGAATTGAGTGCTCGGTTTATGCGAGTGAGGTAAGTAAATTTATGGTAATGCCCGTACTGTTTTAAAAGCATGTTTTGATTTGTTTTGAAGTGGTGGCGGGACTAAACCCGTTTTACATGAGCATGACTGATTTGAAGTGAAATGTTTATGTTTTCATTAAATTGAGCATGCCTACTTGAAAGTTTAAATGACTATCCTGATGATTTGAAAGTGATTGTGAATCGTGATTTTTCTGTTAACTTCTGCCTGTTTTGTCTCCGATATGGTCATGTTATTCGTGTGCCCGCTAGT